CACACATATGTATTTACTCCGATATCACCAGAAGGCCATAAAATTAAAAGAAAACCCCTTAAAATAACTTATACTTACTTTACCCTAACTTTATTCTAATCACAATCATCTAATAAAATTCAATTATTCTGCAGTTTTGCTTCAATACGATCATACAACCGTTGAGGTAATCTAGTTAACTATTTACATTGTATTAATAGGTTAAATGCAATCAAACGGCCACAAATTGAACCTTCGGGATAGATACTACCGAGCGTCATTCAATATGTATGTACCTACATACATACATGGTTACGTGGTTAAAGCAAGAGAGGTAATACCTATATAGTTATTTTTGCATTGCGACTGCACGGTTGGTGCGGGGGCTGGGCACTTTACTATGTTTCAGGTGCCATTTTCACAATTTATTTTCTTAAAGGACATAACATCATAACATCATGTCTTTTTATCCCCGAAGGGGTAGGCAGAGGCGCACATTGCACACTGTACAATGTAACACCCACTTTTCACTATTTATGTTATGAGTCTCATGTAAAAGGGGGTGAGCCTATTGCCATATACCGGTCTCATTTCCAGACTGTGCTACTACTGAGATTTTTAAAAACCCAGGAATCGAACCCGATGCCTCTTACCCGCAGTCGCACTTGCGATCACTCGGCCAACGAGGCAGTTTCTTAAAGGAGTTTGATAGAAAGACGTTTAACTATTGTTAAGTTGAAACACACAGTTTTAGAAAGAGAACTGATATGTTTCTGCCCTTGTCATTTTGGGTCTGACGTCACTGACATGTCATTTGTTTTTTGGGTATTATTCTAGGGGCGGCATTAATTTGGATTTAGAAAAAGAACACAATATATTTCTGGCCTCGTCGTTTTGAGCATGACGTCATTGACGTGTCATTTGTTATTATTTTATACTAGCTGACCTGAAGAATGTCATATTCTAATGCCCCTAATCAGATTTTTATTAAGGTTCAAAGATGCTATACATGCTTGTTTCATAATGTAATGGCAACGTAGCAACGTTATGTAATGGCACTTATAGAATACTTTTTATGGTCAGAGAAAATTAACGAATTTAAGTAATTTCCTTGCAAGTGTTCACAATATTTTCTCATCTTTTAAACCTTCCCCTAACATTCATAAATATTTCAAGATAGTAAGTGGCATGATACATCTAAGTCCCGAATATTCAAAGTCAAAGTCAAAATCATTTATTTCAATTAGACGAGAAACGAATTGAACATCAACAAAAATTTATAAAATAAAGCTATTTGCTCATTCCAAGGCGTAGATTCCTATAGATAAGAATGAGCAAGAAACTACTTAAGTTACTCTTTTTCGATCAGGTTCACAAACACTGTTACATAGCTTTTTGGATTCAGTTATATCAAAAAATGACTGAACAACTACTGACAGACAACGACTGCCTCGTTCGCCGAGTAGTCGCAAGTGCGACTGCCAAGGGGTCTCGGGTTCGATTCCCGGGTTGGGCAAAGTATTACTGGGTTTTTAAAAATCCTCAGCAGTCGCACGGAGTCTGGAATTGTGCCCGGTATACGGCAATAGGCTCACCCTCTATTACATGGAACTCGTAACATAAATAGTGAAAAGTGGGTGTTACATTGTACAGTGGTATTAAGTGCCGTAATGTGGACCTCTGCTTACCCCTTCGGAGATAAAAATCCTTACGTTACGTTATGTTGTATCAGAACAATGTAACAATGTACATATTAGCGAGACTAAATATCAGTAATTGATTTTTTATAAAGAGTCGTACAAACCAACATTAATAAGTGTATTATTACTTCGAAAAATTAAAATTACACTAATGGCGTTAAAATCGTACGAATAATAAGAGATCATTACCTCTACCAACCAAATGGCATATACATGAGCATGGAAATGTTTTACAATCATGACACCACGAGCAAATTGAAACACAATTCAGCTAACTACTCTCCACGGTCCATTCTGAGAACAACAAATGTATGGAATACATTTCCCACGTACTCGGGGCTTGCATAAATAAACCATGGGATACAATACTGCTGACAAGTGTGAGTAAGCAATATGCGTGTTGATACGTTTCCGATGTATTCGTCTGTCTCGAGTGGAGTTTGCTGCATCGAAATGAATGCAGTTATTACAGCTTACGCGTGTTTTAAGCATAATCTGCTATTTTCAACTTTATTATTGAGATGGAACAGTTTGTTTTTGTTTATCTTGCTGCACATAATTTGGTCGGTCGTCTCATATCTCTAATTTATTGGTGCACACAATCTAGGTGTTTTATTATTTTGAGTTTTATTTCAATTACACTATGTTTAATGTGCATTAGCAGTGCACACGATGCTTATTTAATAAGTTTCTTCACAATCTAAGTGTTTCCATCAAGGTTTAGACTAATATTGTACTAAATGAAGCAATGCGTGTTTTACCATAATATGCATTAAATAAGAATGATTTAAAAAGTATGATTACCAAAAGGTTTTTGCCTGTAAAGTTACAGTCGCGTGTATGTTCCAATTATATTATTCCATATCAAATAGAACTTTTTAATGTTAATGAGTTCTCACAATAATAGTGTTTGGTAACTATAATAACGAAGAAATAAAGTTAACTTAAATTAACGTTACAAATACAATGAGTGTTAACACGCGGTATATGAATGTGAAGAAAAAATGGGTACCTATTCAGAGATATTGTTCAAATGTGTTTTTTATTCGTATTTTATTTTTGCCAAACCGCAAGAGATAGAAGCCTTGTAGTTATTTCATTTATTTATTTATTAGTTTAAAACAAAATAGATTTACGATTAGCTAAATATTTCATTAGTAAGAAAAACACAGAAACAAAAACTGTCTCCGTACAACAAACACCCACTATCAAAGCTTAGACAGTAAAAAACTTTTAATTAGAAGTACGAAACACATTTTTTGCTTTTTTACGTATGTTAAAAGAAAAATCTAATACTGCACTCGAACAATGTTCGCGTTTTGTTTTTATCTTGGTGGGTTAGTTGGCACGGCTTCGAAAATCTACGATTTAAGAATTTAGTACGTGCACACGTAGGATCGGATGCTGTCGCCCGTCGCTCCACTGGAAGCCCTGGTGACATGTTCTTGGACAACAGCCATGTTTCAACTCATTGACTAATTCATTGTGTTCTTTCATTCACTTGTCTATTTTAAATATTTTTACTTAATACTGAGTATATTGTCTGATTTTCGACCAGACTTTCTACAAATTTTTATTTCTCCACTCAATCTTACCTTTCACTAGTCAGACTCATAGTCAACAAAATTTGAAGTGCCTTTTCTAGACTGAAGCCCTAAACTCTTACGCAGCCCAAACCTTGGAGGACGGGTTACAAATACAACTTACCGCTAGTACTCCACCACAATTCAATATCTGAACATCCAATAACATAGAAAACGGTAGCAGAATTTGCTTATTCAATAAAGTAGGTTAGCTTTTAGTGAGATCTTGACGAATTAAATAAACACTAAAATATACCCACGGTGGCCAAATTAAACGAGGTGCTGGAAAACTCCCTGCGTTCCCATTAAGTAGAATTGGCAAAAAGCGACAGAACAGGAATGTAAACACTTAAAACTTTGCTCGGCGTGGAGTTCCACCGCTTCGTCGTAATAGAGGGCGCTGCTGGCAAACAAAAGCACGCCGAGTTTTAGTTTGAGCCGCCATTTTGTCTGTTCGGCGTTTTAACCGCTTTCTACGAAATTCGTGGGCAAAATGGAACCGCGTATGGAAGATGAATATGCAACGTTGACAGCGACGCGCATTGAAACGCGTGCTGCCGCGACCTATGTGATTTATTGCCATCTATTTACGTTGCCTTCCCACTCGGCACTATCTTTGTTTACAAGTCTGGTTCAGCGAACAAACAATAATTCTGTTCAATTTTCATGTTGGACTGGCAATTTAATTAGTCTGCAGAGTCAGCTGCTACGTAAATCACCTTGTGCAGTCGCAGTACTCCCGGGATATACAGTAACAACCGGCAGGGGCTAAATTTGTGTGTGCCGCTGTACTGAGATGCATAAAGACAGCAACAGCATTTATAATGAATTTGATGAAGAGAATTAGTGGAGTACAAAAGCAAATAACACAACAAAATTAACGAATTTTGGTTCCCTCTCTCACCGGATATTGTTTTTTTTTTTATAAACAAGGAAATCTGGGACCATTTTAGAATGCCGTTGATATTATAACTTTTGGGTAACTTTGATGAAGATTTTTTAATTTTGTCTGACATTTATTTACATTAGTAAACTTTTTTTAATTAACTTACCTACCTGACTGCTTTTCAATGATCGAAGTTTTTAATAATGCCACATTTTTTAAGTGAATTTGTTCCATCACAATACTTGTACCTTTCAAGATTTTAATAAACCAAAACATTTTATGTTAGGTTTTTTTTTAATTTTACGTGCGTCTTGTAAATATTAGAAACTTCTTTGTAGTAAGTATTTGGGACTACATTTATCAACGTCATCGACTCGACACGACGACGACACAATTTACATACAACCTCATATCGTATTCCAAACGTTCTTTTGATAACTTTAAGCAGGAGCACCCAACCTATTAGATACAAAAAAAACTGCATAGATACAACTTACTATTGTATTACATTTATTGAAACCCGTTTATTTATAATCTACTTACCAACCCAACCTCGATCTTCGAATATACTAGGTTAGCTCCCTACCTCGATATTTCTATTTTTTAATTTGTCAAATTTCATAAACTCGGTTTTTTTCTGGCAAAAATGAACACAGCAAAAAGTCAACTGCACAGTTGGTACTGTGGCTACTGAAAAGTGATGGTTGTCACTCTTGCGATACAAGAGAAAACCCTAAAGTATATTAGGGAATAATACTTAAAAATGCATATGTAATAATAAATTTTAATATTTTAAAAATTTATAAGAACATTGTGTATGGTGCCTTTTGCTTATAACTTAACTTTTTCCAGAATTACCAGAGACTGGTCCTAGTGTACGAGCACAGAAGAGCTGGTACTCCATCGGAGATATGCTCCGAGCCAATTGCACGTCGCCACCAGCCGACCCCCCGGCCAACCTTACGTGGCTACTTAATGGCCAAGAGGTAAGCCACTCCACCTCCAGGGTTTAATTAAATAAAAAAAGTTTGGTAATATGTTTCGAAACGCGTTAAATATTATTTCTATTTTATACGTAAGTTTTATGAATCAATAAATATTATTGTTTACATTTGGTGTTCTAAAAAATATAAATTGAAGGTAGATATAATAAAGTGCGTGTATCTACATATTCGTAATTATCAAGTTATTATAATAGTTATAGATTTTTCTAACGTTTACGGAGTAACGGAAATAAAATACTCTCAGGTTTGGGAATTTCTATGGATATTCTACTACATTATTTTACAGGGTGTTATTGGATTTGCAGGAGAACTTAGATAAAAAAATTTTAACCAAGGTTTTCTTTTCGACGTTAAGTAGGTTAATGTGAGGTAATATTACGCAAATACAGATGTAAATCCTTTAACCCTTCAAGTGTCTTATGCACCACGGGCCTGCGGATGGCGAGCACAAGTAACTCGCCGCCCGATCAGAACCAGACCCGTTCGTACGGCGTGTCGCGTTCCGCGCTCGCCTCGAGTAGCCATCAGACCACCACAGATGGAGCCTAATAGGGCTGATGCCGATACGGAGCTGCGGAGAACTTAGCAGGTTGCCGAGGCTCCGGATCGAAGAGCAGAAGTAGGAACGGAATGGTTTTTAGTCAGAAGAGAAGTCACACGACCTAGTCCCCCTCCATAAAGAGTCTTATGCACGGCTTATATGCCGATGCACATAAACCGTATGTTAGCGGGAGATATGCCTTCAACATTTATCAGTTGGTAGATAAGCACCAAAAACTTTCTTATCACAACACTTACATATGCGTAGGCACATATCCTTTAAACTTTGATTACATCCTGACCCCATTTGTGTAATATAGATAACTTCTAAGTTTGGTAAACAATTGCAATGATTAAGATGATGCATACAAATTTAATTGCACCCTGTATTGTATATTTTAATTGTGGGTAAAGTTGTAACAGATATCTTAAGTCAAAGGTTGGTTTATATATAGACGACAGATAAATTTTATACTTTTTAAGTTTAATTTGTTAATATAATCTAGTACATAAATGTATACAGTTATCGTCACAAAAAAAATTCTAGTAGATCCGCATTTTCACCAGTTTATTATGAGTCCCATAATGATAGGAGGAGGGCCTTTGACTCTTTACAGGCATTCGATTCCTACTTTTGCTACTACTGAGAGTTTTCGAAAACTGAAAAAGTTCAATAAAACTTTACTGATCTGGGAATGCCCGACGATTCAACCCAAAAGATAATTTTGTAACAGATATTTTATCGCAGGTGAAAGGTCTGGATATACCGCTGCACGACACATCATACGCGCGAAGAAAACCTGTGATAACCGACACGTCGCTCGAAGATGCAAATAGAATTATATTCAGTCCGTGGGACGCAATCTCGGGTTACGAGGAACCCGTGACCGACAATGTAATAGACATTCCAGGCAATATCGACGGCGTAGTGGGCATTCCCCACGCTGATAGCAATCGGAAAAACAAGGAGGAAAGCACCACCCGCCTCGCACCCAGGCTAGAGCAAATAGCAAATAAATTGAACATTAGTATTGAAGAAGAGAAATCCAATAAATCATCTTCGTTCAGCCAGCTTGTTATAAGAGTACAGTCGGTACACTTTCGCAAAGTAAGTTACACTCTTTATACATCTGTTATCTTTCTGTTCGTGTTTGATGGGTATTAGTTTCATTTGAAATTCCTGATACTAATACTTTGATCTTAATTTATATTTATTTAATTTTGTTATGTAATGTGGATAAAGTAAGAGGTTCCAATGTAAGGAATTACGTTTACAACTATTTTGGTGATGGACGAAATATAGAATCATTAAAATGTAAGTTTAATATAGGTAGTTATAACGGATTGTAGGCAGTTTTAGGATGCAAAAAGTTCATAACTGTTCTTAAATTTTAAACTGCTAGTAACGTTGTTACAAAATGTTGAATTTTATTATACAGAGTAAAAATATTGAACGTGAAACGATAAAAAATCTATTGCTATGAATTTAATCTGGACAGCAAATAAAAACGCTTCTGTTTTTCCTTTGATATAAACAGATTACTCAATAGAGACGGAGGAGATTTTATTTATCTAATACACCCATGTAGAGTGGTATTAAAATGTTTCAAAGCGTTTCCAATACAATCTTAATGCATCTTTAAATTGGAGTTTACTTTCTTTAAAATACGACTTCAACATAAATCTTACCTAGCGTTTAATTGCAGTTTCAAAATTGATATCATAAAAGTCACACTCAAACTTCGCGGCTAAACCGCCATTCGATGTTAAAAGTAAGGTGTTTGGTTGGGCCGTTAGTGGCCAGTATCGTACAATAATGGCGGCTGGTAATTAGCGTTGTTTGTCACAGGGGCGGGTGAACGTGACGTGTGTGGCACACGTGCTGTCGGTGTGGTCGAATAGTGGCGTGCTCATCCTAGACGAGGAGCGGCCACAGATTGCACCTGTTATGGGCAGCCGGGACTCAAATTCAGGTACGTGTAGGTATCTATTATGGGTAAAACTGATGTAATCTTTTCTACTTACAGTCTTACATACATTTTATGCTTTTACATGCAATCTATTACATAAACATATTCTTCTAGTATGATATGTGTCCTGTTCACGTAGGTGTCAATACAATGCATCGTAAACACTTAAAAGATAAGTCACACATATTAAGTGTGGGAGAGCCATGCTCCGGCACGAATGGGCCGGCTCGACCGGAGTGATACCACGGCCTCACACAAAACTGACGTGAAGTAACGCTTGCGTTGTGTTTCGTCATGTGAGTGAGGTTACAGGAGGCCCACTTACCCTCCCCCCTCCCTTCCCCAATCTCTCTAATTCATGAATCCCCAACAATTCTCAAACTCCTAATCCCCGAAATCCCCAAAAGGCCGGTAACGCACTTGTAACGCCCCTGGCGTTCCAGGTGTCTATGGGTGACTCCGATTGCTTACCATGCATAGGTGATCCGTCTGCTCGTTTACCGGCTTATCCCACAATTTAAAATACACTTAACAAATGAGGCAGGCACAAAAGGCAGATGTATCATTTTATTTTCATTGAAACCGATAGAATTATTTTATTCTAGGTTAAAAAGTAAAAAGGATTCATATTTCCAATGTGTCACCAATAAAATAAATACTTTTGAATTTGTGGTTATTGGAAATTTTAACCAATCAAATTGTTAACATTTTGGTATGAAATAAAACGTTGACGCGTTTTGTTAACACAGTCGCATTTTCGTAGTAGGAGTTATCCCTATTTATTGCTTTTGTATATTACACACTAACTTTTTTATCAATATATCTATTGTACTTTCTCAAAGAACATCAACCGTATCTGATATCATTCAATAGAAACTGTTAACGGGATTGTAAGAAAATCAGGTAAGATAGACGTAAGCATTAGATAAACTAGTTGTTCGACGTTAGAGTTCAAAGTCGCACATAAAAATACCGATAAGGGTATCAGAGTCACAGGGTTGACACGACCTTCGTGACTTTGGGACCTTTATCAGGATCTCTTGCTATTTGGAGACTAGTACTTATCGAAATGTATTTCGCAGAACTTTATTTTTTTAAGATACGTCGATCTTCATTTTGTGTTTTCCTGGTGTTGACTTGACATACAATCAAGTAATTTGTTATTGTTCATCGAGCCTTTTCAACAATATATTTTATAAGTTTATTGCTAATTTTAGATAGGAACATTGCCAATATGCTTCACTCCGATGTCAATGCATAGTTACTCTAATTAGTTTTAAAAAAAACATGCACCGATATTGAAATTCCATTGTGACTGTGTTAATATGGACAAAAGATCGAAAACATTTTATTAATTGGCTGGATATTGTTGTAGTAGGACCAAATTGGAAGTAAAGTCACAACGTGACGATCACGCTATTCCAAGAACCTGGAAATATAAAGATGTCACATTAGTGGGACCATGGTTGAGTCTCACTTACTACAGTTTTCCGCTCTATTAGTGGTGCAATAGTACTTCGCAATGAGGTTTTACATTAATTCCACTAAAATACATTAAACGCAGGTTGCGATACTCTCGTTGTTAGATTTAATTGTTTCACATGTGGCCTCCATGCAGTGAGATGAAATACAGATTCATTTAACTGCACATACGATACTATTCAAGCCTCTTCATGGCTCTTACAATTTATGGAGCCGTTTGCAGCCGTATATCATGGTGACGCAGCAAAGTATTGCAATCGGCTCGTCATAACCACTTTTAGAGAAGTGTGTTGCAATATCAGCTTTATGTAGGTACACATTTATTTTCAGGTGGTTAGGTGTTAAATCAAATACGATTACACATACTACATAATACACATGATGTCGAGGACCGCCCTGAGGACACGGTGGAATACACTGTAGCGGAATGCCCTGCGTGGGCTGAGCACCGCCGTGCCCTCAGGGAAGTGATCGGCGATGGCGACCTCTCGCGTCCGGGCCTAGTGCAGGCCATGATGCGGAGCGAGGGGGACTGGAATGCCGTCTCCTCCGTTTGCGAAGCAGTCATGCTAGCTAAGGAGGAGGCGGGACGCGTGAGGCAGCAAAGCGCTGCCTCCTCGCAACCCAGCCATCGCGAAGGACACACCGGGCGTCGGGGATCGTGGGACGATCTCCGGCCACCGTAAGCGCAGGCGAGCCTACGGCGCGTCGCGTTCCGCGCGCGCCTCAAAGAGCCATCAGACCACCACAGATGGGGCCCAATAGGGCCGATGCTGATTCGGAGTCGCGGAGAACCTAACGGGTAACCGGGGCTCCGGCTCGACGTGCAGGAGAAGGAACGGGGGTGGTTTTTAGTCAGTAAGAGTCTGACACTGCCTTCCGCCTCACCCAGGCGGGAGCAGCCATTCGATGATTTTTCCCCCCTTAAAAAAAAATACACATGATGTACTCAAATCTAACAATAAATAACTTTAACTAAGAAAAAATACGAAAACATTATCCTTAGAATAAGAAAACTATCATAAAGTTAATGACTTTTGGTATGCATTAATTTACATATGTGCTTAAATCATTTGAAGAACGGAACCAAAACCCGCGGTTAAGAGATAAATCGATGAAATCCTACCAACGAATGAATATTCATTTCACGTACTCTGTATGAGCAACGACAGCGGGGAGGAATCGTACTTATGTGCTTAGTGATTTAGCTTCCATTATCGTTATGAATCATTTTCTACAAAAACGATAACACGAACTTTTTAGCTATACTTAATTTAACAGCACGTTTTTTATTTCTCTGACTTTTAGCCACTTTATCAGAAGTTCTACGTGTATAATGCGACATTATAAGCTGAACTCCTACAGATAATTTCCAAGTAGAAAAATCTAACAATATTTTACTTGATTCGGTAAATTATTGTTAAATATGGTGAAAAGCGCCCATTACCTACAATGTGACTAACACATATTTAATAACAATCAAAAAGCACAATTTTGTCGATTCCATCGTAGAATAGTAGGTGTTACGTTATTTTAAAATAAGTATGGGGAGCCATGCTTCAGCACGAATGGGCCGGTTCGCCCGTAGTAATACCACGGTCTCACAGAAAACCGACGTGAAACAACGTAACCAACGTAATCCTTAAATTCCTAATCCCCAAAAAGCCGGTAACGCATTTGTAACACCCCTGATGTTTCGATTGTCCGTGGACGGCGCCGATTGCTTGCTGATGGTTACTTACTTACTTACGATGGTGATTCGTCAGCTCGTTTACCGGCTAACTCTATAAAAAAATATTAGGAAATTCTGTTACAAGCATACGAGCAAATAGCGTGTAGCTCATTCCATAACCTTAGCATACACGAACGAAAACTTGCTCACTTCCCCGTACCTACTTCAAATATCTACATATGTGCTGATTTAATGGCTGTTTTCAAGTTTTTGGGTCATAAACTGAGCTTATGTATGTAAGTAGACTGTCGTCATACTGTTCCATACGATGGGCAAACGTAGCATTAGTTTAAACAGGCTTTTGAACGAACATTTTTGATAGACAAATTTGCATTTTATATTTTATGATGCTATTATAGAGTCTAGTTTAGAGGCTACGCACTACAACACCTACCTAACAAAGTAATTATCTTTAAAACAATAGCGAATAATTTTAGTTAAATGGCGACCTTTCCGCTTCTGGTATCATCATCTAATTCTCTAAATAAAATAGAAACACAAAGAGGGTTATTACAAGGGTACTTGTGTAAACAAACTGGAAAACGTTGTAACGATAATTAAGTTAGAACTTCCCTCTGTGTTTATTTGGTTACCGTCATGGTCATCGTTAACCCATTGCCTTCGACCATCGCTTCCCCTTGTTGACTTACCAAAGTTACGCAACTTGATAGACAACCATTACTTACTTTTGTTTTATTTTTGTTAAGACGCCATTATAATTATTGCTTTCTATAAACAGTAGTTAACAACAACTTCGATCGAAATCATTAAAAGTGCTCCATCGAATTAAATGAAACGATGATATACCAAATTTATTATTTGTGTAAATATTTTTAATATGGATAGATCGATTTATATGCACTTTATTACTTCGGTAATTATAGCGATTTACATCTATATATATAAAAGAAAGTCGTGTTAGTTACTTCACTTATAACTTAAGAATGACAGAATAGATTTGGCTGAAAATTGGTAGGGAGGTAGCTTAGAGCCAGGAGACCGACATAGGATACTTATTAACCAATTTTTTTTATTACTTTTTTCCGAAAATCACGAACGGGGACGGGAAAAATGGGATATACGCGTACAAAGTCGCGGGCAGGAGCTAGTAATAGATATTTACATTATACGCTATGTGTGATAAGATCGCTAATTGTGCACTATATTTTTTTATTGTCTTCCTGTTTTATTAAAAAAAAATATTAGTTATCTTATAGCAGTAATATTGGGGTTGCCTAGGACGACAACGAAATAAAAAAGTATACTTATTTAAGAAATCACTTAAGTAGCTTTACATTACGTACTATAGTGAAATATTTCCAACAAAATATTTTCATTAAGTACCTTTTTTAGTTTTTGGACACCAGAATTATAAGAGCGTGGCAATAAAGCCGAGCTTATTGCCTACTCTGACATTTTCATAGACATTCTTCAGAATATTCGTCACAGTACAGTAACAATGTTTCTTATAAATAGGGTAATATTTTGAGGCTCGAGACAAACTTGAGACTCGCGGCAATAGGATTGAATGACTTCGAAAAAGCGTATTGGACCAATAAAAAGATATCTGCAATGAATAAATATAAGTTCGCGCTACTAACAATCGTTCTAACAAAAAAAAAATGAACTGTAATTCAACCATTTCAAAGGTTTAAAACTTTCAGCAACAACTAAACATTTGGGATATTCCACGTCCCACGCTCGACTGTCAGAACTAAGGATGTCACCAGTCGCCACGGGCATCTATCCAAAAGAAAATTATACATTTAGATTACATTAATAAAACAAGTCGTGTACATAGTATTAAAATCCTGGGATTTCATTAAAACAACAAGTCACAAGAATGATACTTATTATTACATTGTGCCGCCTGTCCACAGATTCTAAAGATTTAAAATGTGCCTGTGAATATAATGTAAAACAAATAAACATGGTTTACCTTTGTCCTTTTCTTACCTTTTTACCGACTTCAAAAAAAGGAGGAGGTACTATGTTCGGCTGATTGTTTTTTTTTTTTTTTTTTTTTGTTTGTTCGCGCAGTACTCCGCCGTTTGTGGACCGATTTCGAAAATTTTTGTTTTGTTTGAAAGGGTATACTTCCGAGATGGTCCCATTTCCATGAAGTCAGGATCTGATGATGGGATCCTAGGGAAACCGAGGGGAACTTTCGAAAATTCTATGGGGGAGTAATGCGTCTATTATGTTTTTCAATTACGAATTTTAAACACTACAATTTGATAAGGGTCTGAAGTCGACCTGATGATGGAGTCGACAGACAGTCGAGGGAACTCCTCAGCGGTTTATATTAACTACCTTGTGTTTGGGCTTGATTAATTTGTATTGATGAGGACTTTACACCTAGATAGAGTGGGGCTGTCATGAAGGGTCTGATGATGAAGAAGTGTAATTGTTAAGGGAACTCCTCAACGTTATACAGTAACTACCTTGAGTTTGGGCTTGATTAATTTGTATTGATGAGGACTTTGCACCTATGTATATTATAAGTAACAAAACGGGTATATGTAGCTTTACACTGAAAATGGTGAAATAATAAAATAAAAACTGCGTTTAAAAAACCGACTTCAAAAACCAAAAACTAATAACAAACAAAAAGTCAATACTAAAAAGCAAAAAATAACTATTATTAGTACTGATAGGTTACCCACCCACTGATAGGTTAGAAGTCGGTGCCATAAGCTCATATCATAATGATATAACTTAATGTCCACAAAATTGTGAATTAGATACCTAGAGGTATTAAGGTTTTAATGAATAATTTTGTATGGAACTTATGGCACCGACTTCTTACCTATCAGTGGGTGGGTAACCTATCAGTACTAATAATAGTTATTTTTTGCTTTTTAGTATTGACTTTTTGTTTGTTATTAGTTTTTGGTTTTTGAAGTCGGTTTTTTAAACGCAGTTTTTATTTTATTATAATTTGCTCTTTCATAGATATATGTAAGACACATATAATACGAAGCTTTTTTCTAATGAAAATGGTAGAGAACGAAGTTCAACGCATTCCTCAATAAAAAATTTAGTGTTTATTTTGAAATCGAAGCGTGTACGTATACATTTAATCTGTCAAACACCAAGCGGTCACCGGTGACCGCGACCTATTGTTCTTTAATTGTGTCTATAAAACCGGTACTCGACGAGTTAAAGAGACCTTTGAAGTAAAATTACAAATGTCCTAAAAATATCTTGAACTATCTTGACCTCAACATTTATTATGAACATGTTATCGGTATGACGTAGCTGTGATTTGCAATATATATTTCTAGACAGAAGCTATCACTGCGACAGTGTGGTAGTGAACATGAACATAAAAATATATCTTTTCTCATGGCTACTTGTATTGCTACAATTGTCGGTTGATTGTAAATATAATCGTACTAAATACTCTATGGGCTTATTCGCGGCGTGCGCTTTGAATGGCGACGGACACGAAGAACAATGTATGGGCGCCTGTTACGGTACAGAGAAGGAAAAATGCCGAGTAGGGTGGAGTACATACTACAAAGGTAAAGATTGCAAGATAAGCGACAAATTGTTGCTTAGATATTATACAGAGTACAGTCACGGTGTAACAGTGAAATGTATGAGCGATTGTGCCCATTTCGGTGGATACTATAAGCCGTGGTGTGTCAATGAGGACAATTGGTGGCTGTGTGTTAAGGAAATACCGCGAAATGTAACTAGAAAAATTCCAAATTCAGGTAAATACCAATACTACCATTGTTTGGAGGGCTGCACGGATGGGTGGTGTGATACTTACCCTAATTCCTGGAAATATTGTGATCCGTCTAAAACTGTATTCGTATCGGACAATCCAACTGAGGTCGGCACACGATGTGTGACGCGATGTGGTGTATGGGGTGAGAATATATTTAAATGCTATGACACTAAGAAAAAGTGGGTAAATTGTTATCCCTCGCCAGATGGTACAAAAATTGTGAAAAGTTTTCATCAATATGCTGAAAAACATAAACACACATTCAATGAACGTGGACAATTGGTTTCTTGTGATACAATATCTAGGAAACGACGCAACAGTGATTACGACAACGCCGATGTCGATGATTTTGACATGCTTAAGTTGGAATCGAGATTCAACGGCCACAACTCCGTCGAAGAGATGGCCACGAGGCTGGAAGCCATATTCACTACAGAAACGTTACGTTGGCCGACGCCGCAGGTGAGCGGTGATCTTTCTGATAACCCGATACTACAGTACACTGTGCGTATCATTCCCACCCCATTCAATAAACCTCAAATTATTTTACCGATGGTCGTCAAAGCGATGTACAGTACTTACACGCGTGCTACAAACCGCTTATCAACATACGATGAAGTCAACTACAGTAAGCAGGATCCGAAGCCAGATTTGAATGATCACGATTACATCATTCCATACTCCTTGGGCGGCACAAACGACTCCTACAACATCGTGCCACAGTCAAGTGCCTTGAATCAAGATGGACCGTGGGGACGTTTGGAGCGTATCATCAGAGATTACATCACTTCGCATCCTACTGGGACTGTAGATCACATAGTGGTGATCAATTACAACTTCACCAAATCGTATCGACCGACGTCGTTTGGGATTCGTGTGCGATTTTATGACGCAGATCGGCAACTCGTCGATGAGAACGGCCAGCGTCTCAATTCATTTTCGGACAATATTTATGAAGAGTTCTATCTTATCAACGAAGAGTCGCCATGTGGTAATGATTCATTACCTTTATTCTAAAATTGTACCCAAACATCTAGGAACGAACAGCAGCTTTTTAAAATTTTTGGGGATCTAATAACAATCTTCATTATTGTATGGAGCCCTAGCACTAAGAACACGGTCTATGCTTAGTAGTAGAGTAGTAGACGGCTATCAGATCATGGTGATAATTTATTCATTAATAAATAATAATAATATAACATACTATCCGGTCTTTTATTTACCAAAGAGTAAGCAGTATTTATTTCTATCAGTATAGACCTATTATCCTATCCTATGATAACACTTGGGAGTAAAGAAACGCAACCACTAACGTTATTGCTAAAAACGACCTTCTGTAATTAAAAAAAAACATTATTTTTACAAAATAATGCTCTTATTTTAAAAGCAGTTTCATTGACTTTTTTATAGGTTAAGCCGGTAAACGTGCAGACGGATGACCTGATGGTAAGCAATCGGCGTCGCCCATGGATACTTGGAACATCAAAGGCGTTACAAATGCGTTACCGGTCTTTTGGGATTAGGAATTTGAGGATTGTTGGGGATTCAGGGATTGGAGAAGGGGTTGGGGATGTGAGGGGGGTAATTGGGCCTCCGGTAACCTTACTCACACGTCGAAACACAACGCAAGCGTTGTTTCACCTCGGTCTTGTGTGATGCCATGTTATCACTCCGGTCGAGCCGGTCCATTCATGCGACCATGCATGCATGCACCTTTTATACGACATATGTTATCAATTAATAAAATACTTGTATCAAAAAATAATTATCAAGAAATAAAAAAGAAAAAAGTACTATGTAAAAACTTCTGCGAACATACAGGTTTTTTTATTATAAACATTCAATATAAATAACAATGTCAAATACACAATGTTACATTTTAATCATCGAAGTAATAGATAGAGGGGTTTTCAATGTAATAATTTACTTACCAGTTTTGAGTGTAAGAGAGTAAGCCTATTGATACTGGATACAGTGGAGACTCCGTGCTATTACTAAGGTCTTTCGAAAAATTCACCCAATGCTCTGGAAGTTTACCCGACCCAGAGAGAAACCTGAGATTCTTTCCTCGGCAGTTCTTTACAGTCACGCTTGAGACGAGGTTGCCAATCCCAAGTAAGCCGTTATTAAACATTTTATGAAAACACATCTTATTAGTTTATCTTTCAACCATTTTCCTACAACGGTGTATTAATTCAATATAATAAAATATTAGTAAGTCCAAATTAATTACTTTTATGACAACAGCAGATAGGTACTCATTACGCAATACGATAATCTATTTTTTAGTCAGAACAAAATACTTAAACTAAATAGTAATCTACTTTAAAACATGTCTAAAAGGTAATTAACCTGAATGGCGTATTTAATTAACGTTACGTCGAACATAATTTCCAGTTGCTAGTAACATTAATACTGTAGATTGCATGCAGTCTTTATGATAATTTGGAGTATATTATGGTTGTAACACGTTGGTATTTTATTGGAATATGACAGCAAAAGAGCACACTGATGACGTGATGATGAGCATTGAACACATGCATCACCAAAGGCAAGGTAAAAGTGCGTAGCTGCCCTTTTGGGGGATTTCGGGATTGGAGATAGGAGGGAAAAGCATTGTGCCTCCGATAATCTCACTCACACGGCGAAACAAAATACAACCGTTGTTTCTAGCCGGTTTTCTTTGAGGTCATGGTATCATTCCGGTCATGCCCATTTATGCTGACACATGGGTGCCCCACGTTAAAATTATTTTATTGTTCCAGGGCTGCGTCGCTCAACGTCGCATATTGGTGTCTTGGCATTACTAAACTGTTTGCTGTACAGGCACTGGTAAGTAATCTGTGAAAAATTGTCTTATCTACATAAGTAAGTACTATTATCCAAATAATCAAATGCCACTCAATTTTAAGAAGCGCTTAATAAGTATAGTTCTGCCACTACAAATTATTTGAAAATGACAGATAAGGCACGATGTTTTAAATTCGGGGTTTAAAAAGCTCCTAAAGCTTAGTTAACCAACAGTGGTACAGTAGGATAAAGGGTGCTTAGTTATCAATACAAGTAACTTTGGTTATACAAGTACGGCGAAATGCGTCACGAACTCGGATTAACTCTTTAATCTCGGCAGTGGCGCAATTTTTTACACACGTCCTTATGGAGATTCCGTTTATGTTCACGTGCGGCTCGCAACTTGCAGGGCAAGTTGACATAATCATATTTTCCATATGCGTTTGCACACAAATTGTTCATAAATTTTTTTGTGAGCGCCAATAAATTAAGCAAACAGGAATACACTTCAGTAATTTTTAAATAACAAGCTTTTAAAGTACTTAAAGGCCTTACAATGAAATATTTGATAAAATACTCACGGGGAAATGAACTTCAAAATGCCACCAGTCTTATTTCAATATTTTTTTATTTGATAAAAAAATACCATCGTCAATATTTATTTTTTTCATTTTTGTCCTCGCATAGCTGACGGTTTTATTCACAATACAAGTTCAGAGATAAATTCATTTATTTTACACATACATACATATGTGCAACTCTTCCAATCATGTCCTGTCGATGCGCGGAATAATTGGAATTGGATTGAAAATATATCGTACCGTGGTTTAACAATATAAACCTTTTTACAGGGAAAAGTAATTATATAAAAGTTACGTTTAACTACACATCAGCTATTAATAGTTTGACGTTGTTAGTAAATTACTATGAATTAGTTTTACTGGCTGGCTTTTCAGAAGTTACTTATTTATGATGTTTACTATCAAGGGAGAATTAATCTAAACAGTTGTTTCGAACTGCTTATAATTTGTATATATCGCCTCTTCTCTAAATAAGTGAAATATTAACATTAATCTTTGTTCACAGGTCTGTCCGATGATCAGAAGACTTATAAAACACGAACTTGTCATTTTCTCATCTAAAATCAGTGTTAGACTTTAGTGATTGAAAAATTACATGAAAATGATGCAGGTAAAGTTATTTTATCAACAACGTGAGTTGAATGTAGTGAATTTTATACTTGTACATAATAATTAACTTGTATTAGGACTCTTAAGATGATAGTGATGTTTCGCTTCGACGAACCTTATGTACGTAACTGTTACTTTAAATAAGAAATTTAAAATAAAGGAGATCCCTGTTTTTATATCGTTTTGTTATTTCATTTTCGAATAATTTTGTACAATAAAGAACGCGGCGAAACTTGAGCGCCGAGTATCCAATAGCCCGACTATAAATACTTGGCAAATAAATACCAAAGTAATACTCCAATAATGTACAACAACCCCATCCCACTCCGATACTATCCATAACTAAACTTTGAATATAAAATCTTATTATTCTGAATCCTTGAGTTTATTTGAATCGCTAAAGTTTATTATAATAAGAGTAGAATTTATGGTCTCGCAAACATTTTGTATTAAAAATAGCAGTAACGTTAGTTTTAGATGAGGAGTTGACTAAAGCGGACAGGCTAAATTGTTTACTAAAACATAAACATTTAGTTCATTATGGAACAGCAAGAGTTTCCGCGTGGAGAATTAATTGTTACATTTCGCTTTAAAATGAAAATGCACATAGAGGTGACATTAAAAATTCTATGAGGTAATTAATTAAGGTCAGACAGCGTGGAGGCGAGATGAGACCGCTGCTGATTCTGTTAACACCTTTACTTAACTCTTGGAACGTGATACTCATATATATTATGTGCCAGATGTATCTCACTTTAACGTATGTATGTTTTGAAAACTGGACATAACATAACATAACGCCTTTTTATCCCCGAAGGGGTAGGCAGAGGTGCACATTTCAGCACTTAATGCCACTGTACAATGTAACACCCACTTTTCACTATTTATGTTATGAGTCCCATGTAATAGGGGGTGAGCTTATTGCCATAAACCGAGCACATTTCCAGACTTCGTGGTACTACTGAGATTTTTAAAAACCCAGTAATACTTTGCTTTACCCGGCAGTCGCACTTGCGACCACTCGGCCAACGAGGCAGTCAATATCAGATACCAAGCTATTTTTTTATATTACACAAGTTTTTTTTATAAATAATACTTTGCTCACACTATTTGTCTCTCATGCAGCAGCGCTTGCCACCACTGGGATAACAAGCGAGTTCGAAGATCGTGTTCCTTATACAAATTTAGTTATACATAGAAAATATTGATTAAACTAGACACAGGACATAAGACTATTAGAAAACATCGAAACGATAAGATCGCTCCTTTTATTCTTCAAAGGTGGTTAGGTAGATGCAAGATCATCATCATCAAAAGCAAGAAGACGTCCACTGATAGACAATGACCTCCACGTCGAATGACAACTCGCCACCTGCATCCACAGGCCCACGCTTCGTCTTAAGGTTCCCGATCACCACTTGATCACTTTCCTAGGTAGATAAATGCACACATATCAAATGTACTACCTCTTTTTTGCCAAGAAGGTATACTGCGAGTCTCATGAAATAGGGATCCAAGATATCGCCATACACTAATCACCACATCAACCTCTAGGCTACTAGTAACAATTTTCGAAAACGAAAAAATAAACCGAATAATATTACGTACATTTCCCCAAAGGGATAGGCAGAGGTGAATCTTATAGTAGGTACTTACATTATTGGCTCCCTAGCGGAAAACTAATGCATTATAATGGTAACAGTACTTTTGAAAGATGGTTTCTCTCTAAAAGAGGAAAATGGGAAGGGCGGAAGGCTACGTGCTAAAACATTTAAAATAGACGTAAGTAGTTGGAAAATAGGGCATCCAGATCAGAGATCTGGATACCCTATTTTCCACATTTTAATCTTCTATTCACATATTATTTTAAGATAGCAGGCATGGCAGTAATATTCATAAAAAGATCATACTTATTGAATATGATAATATGGAATGCTCTCGCTATTGTCCATTGCGCTGCCTTATATACCTAGGTACGTAGTGCAGTGGCTATTTATTACATGTATAAGAATGAGTTAATAAAAAAATGTTATTTTGAATTATTTTATTTTAAATATACAATCTTTGATATTTTTATAGTTGAAATATACATTACTACATAGGTACACTTATAATTATTTACATAAACTTTTTTAGAAAATTAAACATACATAAGTGGTAAACGGTGACGTCTATACATTTTAAATTATTAAATCTATACTCTTGGTTCGATGTCATCCTGAATTTTGGCAATTAATTCTCTCGTACTGGTATATATATCATCGTATAATATAGTTTTCACAACATGTTGAACACACAATCAGCCTCACAATTACACATCGACTGTTCGGATTTTTGAAAACTGTCTGTATCATAGATTTCTATTTTTATTATTTTCGTTCCACGAGAAACAGGCTTCTTTATAAATTGATAGAATGTCTGATCTGTTTTTGATCTCTTGCGAGCGAGACCCAGCGTCTTCTGTCCAGTGGTTTGTTGGACTGGTTGATTCATGGGAACAAAATTGAAGAGATCCTCCGAGTCCTGAAATAACAATACAATATTAATTTAAGTTACACTACAAACGTTACGATTGAAATAAAGGCTTATGTGGAAATAATTAATGCTATGATGCTACTTACTACTATTGTTAATATTAATACATTTTTAAATTGTTAGTGAATGTATTAAAGTAACACTTACCGACATTCCACAATTATATCAGTCTGATTCAGTCTTCACCATCAGATTCAAAGATGAAATGGATTTCAATTTATTATATCCCCCTTTTATATTTTTAAATTTAATTACTTCTTTTAATACATAGAGTTCAATATCGTACATTTTGTTAGATGTTAATATCTATACAAAAATGGTATGGTGAAATTGAAACCGCAGACATTCCGACGCCTAACATTTTATTGTTTATCGAAAATATATATCGACAAAATAATACTACTGTATTTTTGTTCACGGTTATTGTTTTCATACATTTTATTAAAATGATTTGGCAAGCAAAATCATGGTATGTTAATAGTATATCAGCGTTAGCGAATTTGCAACGTAGCTGAATTCTTTTTAAGGAGACGGATCATACATAACAATTGATCAATATCGACATACAGTTATTAAGCCTGGTTTTACCTGCTATTATTATTATAAAGATTAAAAATAAATTTTTTGTTATTAATTTATTTTTTTAATAGCTTAGATGTACCTCTATGCTGGAATAAAACACAAGATTTACTTAATCGATCTGATTATTAGTAGGTACCTACAATTAGTGAGCATCGACACGTTTTACGTTTTCATACAATAGTTCAAATTCTTCTATATTTCATAAAAACAAATAAGTTATCATAGTAATTGTGAAAAAATTATAAGATAAATACAAGCTTATTTTTACATACCGAAATATGAGATTCTGACTAGTCATATCTCTCTTTCTCCATATGTCTAGAAGTTGCATGCGAGCGTGCAAACCGCAGCGTTTGTACCGTCGCCTGACGTCAAAAACATTCAGTAAAAAACAACAATCTTTAAACTTTTTTTCTAAATATGAAATTCCCCTATTGTTTATTTAAGTAAGTATCTATATTCATCATTCGTCTACATTATCTATCTATACATATAATAATCTACACTAATATTATATAGAGGAAAGATTTGTATTTTTGTATGTTTGTAACGAATAAACTCTAAAACTACTTAACCGATTTGGATGAAACTTGGCATACAGATAGACCATAACCTGGAATATGACATAGGATTTTTTATCTCAGTATTAAGTTCCCGTGGGATAATTTAAAACTAACGCGGACCATGGGTAAAAGCCATCTTATATAATAACTCTAAGATTAAAACCTTAACCGCTCAGATTTGTACGCTCGTGTATGCAATTTTTGCAAGTATGCAGTTTTACAAATTTGGATTGAATGATGTGATTTTAGACCTATAAAAACGCATAGCAAATTAGTCTCCGGTACAATTCCTCTCTGGAACGAATCCTCTCTACAACGGATCAACTCTCTGAGCTCCTGATCAAGCTACCTGTCTAAACACCTATCAAGAATGTAAGTATCTATTCATAATCATTTAAATAACTATTAAATGGTCAGAGCAATGTATTAGTTGATATATTCAAGTATTCGAATGTTGACCGCCAATATTGTGATGCAGGTTCGATTCCTGCACAGATCAAATATGCTAATTTGTGTTGAAAAAAAATGAAAACTAAGTACCAGTTACATAATTATTTAAATTTATTTCAACTATAACACAATGATAATTATGACTGCTTATGAAAGATTGGACAGTCGAGGGTTCCATTCTCGTAACGTTTCAAGTCTAACTGTGACATACATTTAGTTAATCTGATCATTATGTCTTATCTCTGTAGCATAGATAGAATATTCTAGTTTGACGTTAGGACTATGTGTCTGTACCTATACCAAGCATTGTATTTGTTGTTCATATATTTTTATAATTTTTAATATTAGATTTATACATAGAAATATTTAGAGATATAACGAAACCTAATTAACATAAACACCTATACCTCTACATATGTAGAAAATAAAATTATCGAGTACAGTGCACTAATAATATATTATTTATACACAGGTCGAAGCTACTCGCCAACGATCTCTTTCTCTCCAGCGACGATTCTGAAGCGGAGGTGAAGCCGAAGGGGAAGTCGGAGGACAAGAAAATGAAGAGAGAGCGACCCGGCAAGTCGAGTGAAGGATCTAGTTCGAAAAAGTCCAAACCAACTATCTCCCCAATTTCTCCGCCAGCATGCGTTACGGCCAATGACTTATTCGGTGACGAAGACGTTGACAAGAATGAATGTGCTATGAGCTCTACCAAAGCGGGTAATGTCCCACCTATACATTCTTATTTTACGAAAAGGCTGCGGAAGGGCTATTCA